TTATCTTCTACACAACACAAGTGTCTATGTAAACACCTACTTATCATCTACACAACACAAGTATCTATGTAAACACGTACACACATAAATACCTACCTATCTTCTACACAACACGCATGTCCATTGTAAGACTTATACTTATGTAATCTTTGCACAAGTTAAGTGTCTTCTTAAAGAGGCATGCATCTTTTTCACAGCAAAAGTGTCTTAATATGTGTCTACATAATTCAAGTGTCTACTGTTAGAGGGGCCACATCCTCTGTTTATACAAAACTGAGTCGCTTTTGCCGAGGATGTGTCAGGCCAAATTTAGTTGAAAATCCATAGTAGCGTTTTAAAGGAAAACTTGACAGATGGATGGACGGACGGCGGACACTATGGTACGACATAAGCTTACCTTGGTCCTAGGACTGGTATGCTGCCTCATATATCCATGTAATGGTAGCAAATATCAACTTGTTAATTAAATAACACACAAGTCCTGTACATGTATGTATTGGTTGATTGGTATATTCACAAATTATACAAAAACACATTATCTATAAGTATACATTTACATAAATTTGCATGCAAAAGAATAGGCACATTTTCTTTCATTTTCAATTTTCCTCATGATCCTTGCTTTGTTACAACTTATTCCTATTGATAAATGACCTTTTAGATGTATACTGCAGAACCTAGATACGTTACCCCCTTATCAAACACTGGAACTTCAGAAACTGAATTTAAAACTTATGAGTGACAGGTTTTCTTAAAAAGGCAAAAACCACTTTATGTAGTCCAGATACACATACAAAATTACAAAGGATTGAAGGTAATGATATTTCATTATAGCTAACTTTGTCTATAGATTGACATTTTACCTCACTGTGTCTACAGATTGACATTTTACCTCACTGTGACAGTATAACTAACTTTGGCTTTAGACCAACAGTTTATCTAACTTGTCTATAGTTTGACTGTATAACTAACTTTGGCTTTAGACCAACAGTTTATCTAACTTGTCTATAGTTTGACTGTATAACTAACTTTGGCTTTAGACCAACAGTTTATCTAACTTGTCTATAGTTTGACTGTATAACTAACTTTGGCTTTAGACCAACAGTTTATCTAACTTGTCTATAGTTTGACTGTATAACTAACTTTGGCTTTAGACCAACAGTTTATCTAACTTGTCTATAGTTTGACTGTATAACTAACTTTGGCTTTAGACCAACAGTTTATCTAACTTGTCTATAGTTTGACTGTATAACTAACTTTGGCTTTAGACCAACAGTTTATCTAACTTGTCTATAGTTAGACAGTATAACTAACTTTGTCTACAGATTGATGTTTCACCTAACTTTACATACAGATAGACAGTTTACCTAACTTCATGTAGAGTGAATTCATCAATTTTAGGGCTATAATGAGGGTTAGTAAATTTAAACCCTTAATAGTTATATATATCAAAATCTAACCAGCACCTAATATAAATACATTATACTGAAAGATGGGTCAACAGTTGTAAAATTCAACTAATGACACACATAAGTTGTATCAAAGCAACATATAAAAATAGTTTTGGGACTAAATACCTATAAATTAGCACATTATACAAAGCATAAACAAGGGTCTGTACAACCACTTTGAACAATTAACTACCTATAATTCTCTACTTCTGGTAAGTATAATATCTTATGATAACATGCTTTTAGTCCTTTGTAAAGCTAATTGTAATTTGAGGATATTTGCATCTAAAGTGGCTATGCCCTTGCGAAATGTCTTGTCTGTGATGGTTGACGATGTGGATAAAGTTTTCTCCGAGCTGGACACACTAGAGAAGTTATCGTCATCTATAGCACTGATAGAAACATCAAGTGTTGTTCCCCGATACAGTCTATCCTGTGCAGACTTTTCCTGTGAATCAATTGGTGATCTTTGCTGCATACCAAATGTTGTTGCAGGGATGTGTTTCCAGTTAGATTTTTCGCGCTGAGAGTTTGTAAATCTGGTAGCACTGTAGTCTACAGGGTGTTTGTCGGAGTGTAACGTGGGCTGACCTGTCCTTCCTAGCACCAGCCCTGCTGGCTGACTTAACGCTCTCTTATGACTCGACCACGAATGACTGGAGTGACCTCTATCATCGTTAGCTGGAGGAGTGTGATATTTTTGGAAGTAATCTGTAACGCTGTATCGGGACTGTTCAGCATCAGAAAGATTTGAGTCAAAGTTACTTGCCTGAATTCTTTGATGGCCTGATCCATTTCCATGGTAACCAACTCTATTCTGTGAACCTTGTTCATCGCATTGTTTTCTTCTTTTATCATCTGAAGTTTTAACCATTCTTTGGGCTGCAAATGTATCTACCAATGATTTGTCTCCTTCCTTTAGCTCTGAGCCAATCAGAGAGAGTCGTTCAACTTGACGTGGAGATGAACTCAAGGCCCGTCTGCGGCTATTTTCTTTTGACTGTTGTCGTCCCTGAGGAGAACTGCTCCGCCTGCGTTGTCGTGGCAACACTTTTCCTTTGGTTCCTACATACTCATTCAGAGTGAAGTCAACTTCTGTATCAGAGTTGTTTCCCTTGTTTTGCTCTCGTTCCAGTGATCTGTTATGGCTGGCCAGGGCCTGTTCCGTTAGTTTGGCAGGTCTAGCAAAACTCTCCATTTCTCTCGGATCAAACCTAAGGCTCTTCACTGGACCTCCTGACCCTTGGAATTTCTGTGTATTTTGAGATTTGGCTGGTGTCAGAATACCTCGGGGAGGTCTGCAATGGTTTAACACAAAAATCAGCAAAAGGCAGAGTTGAAAATGCTTTACCACAACTATAATGATATAACAGCCATTGGATTGGGCACAAGTCTAACAACTTATACAATGTTCCCTTCAATACATCAAACAAAATTTCACAGCAGGTATCAGTCTTAAAATTACTACAGCATAGGATACATTCTACACCACCTGTTTCTCATCAATACAGGTCCAAGGTTCATTGTATGGCATAAACCTGATATTTGTTGATTCCATATATATTATGATAAATTTAATATTCATTACATGAATAAAGATTCTACCCATGCTTTAAGTTTAAGTGCATACTATTCTTACCGTGATATTTGTTGTTCCCCTCCAAGGACTTGCAGCAGTTTCTGAAGCCCGAAGCTGTTGTTACTGGTGAAGCTACGATCCCCCACATGGTCTAACTCCTGTATCAGCTCACTCACACTGGTCTTCATCTCCCTGGTGGTGAAAATATTTCTCATCAACATATCTATATAGATACAGGGCTACCTAGCTGTGCCCCCACACATGTATACTGACGTCATAAAAAAATAAATACAGAGAGAAATAATACAGGGCTACATGTGTTCACACACATGTATACTGACGTCATTAAAACATTTATAGAGAGAGAAATAATACAGGGCTACATGTGTCCCCACACATGTTTACTGACGTCATTAAAACATTTATACAGAGAGAAATAATACAGGGCTACATGTGTCCCAACACATGTATACTGACGTCATTAAAACATTTATACAGAGAGAAATAATACAGGGCTACATGTGTCCCCACACATGTATACTGACGTCATTAAAACATTTATACAGAGAGAAATAATACAGGGCTACATGTGTCCCCACACATGTATACTGACGTCATTAAAACATTTATACAGAGAGAAATAATACAGGGCTACATGTGTCCCCACACATGTATACTGACGTCATTAAAACATTTATACAGAGAGAAATAATACAGGGCTACATGTGTCCCCACACATGTATACTGACGTCATTAAAACATTTATACAGAGAGAAATAATACAGGGCTACATGTGTCCCCACACATGTATACTGACGTCATTAAAACATTTATACAGAGAGAAATAATACAGGGCTACATGTGTCCCCACACATGTATACTGACGTCATTAAAACCTTTATACAGAGAGAAATAATACAGGGCTACATGTGTCCCCACACATGTATACTGACGTCATTAAAACATTTATACAGAGAGAAATAATACAGGGCTACATGTGTCCCCACACATGTATACTGACGTCATTAAAACATTTATACAGAGAGAAATAATACAGGGCTACATGTGTCCCCACACATGTATACTGACGTCATTAAAACATTTATACAGAGAGAAATAATACAGGGCTACATGTGTCCCCACACATGTATACTGACGTCATTAAAACATTTATACAGAGAGAAATAATACAGGGCTACATGTGTCCCCACACATGTATACTGACGTCATTAAAACATTTATACAGAGAGAAATAATACAGGGCTACATGTGTCCCCACACATGTATACTGACGTCATTAAAACATTTATACAGAGAGAAATAATACAGGGCTACATGTGTCCCCACACATGTATACTGACGTCATTAAAACATTTATACAGAGAGAAATAATACAGGGCTACATGTGTCCCCACACATGTATACTGACGTCATTAAAACATTTATACAGAGAGAAATAATACAGGGCTACATGTGTCCCCACACATGTATACTGACGTCATTAAAACATTTATACAGAGAGAAATAATACAGGGCTACATGTGTCCCCACACATGTATACTGACGTCATTAAAACATTTATACAGAGAGAAATAATACAGGGCTACATGTGTCCCCACACATGTATACTGACGTCATTAAAACATTTATACAGAGAGAAATAATACAGGGCTACATGTGTCCCCACACATGTATACTGACGTCATTAAAACATTTATACAGAGAGAAATAATACAGGGCTACATGTGTCCCCACACATGTATACTGACGTCATTAAAACATTTATACAGAGAGAAATAATACAGGGCTACAGGTGTCCCCACACATGTATACTGACGTCATTAAAACCTTTATACAGAGAGAAATAATACAGGGCTACAGGTGTCCCCACACATGTATACTGATGTCATTAAAACATTTATACAGAGAGAGAGAAATAATATCATGTCCTACACTGTTACTTACTGGACCATGTCAAACAGTTTTTTATCCTAGAGCCCTGCTGTTACTAACTGGACCATGTCCTACACTGTTACTTACTGGACCATGTCCTGCATTTTATCCAAGAGTTATGCTGTTACTTACGAGGCCATGTCCTACACTGTTACTCACTGGACCATGTCCTACACTGTTACTTACTGGACCATGTCCTACACAGTTACTTGCTGGACAATGTCCTACAATTTATCCTAGTGCCCTGTGGTTATTCACTGGACCATGTCCTACAGTTACTTACCGGACCATGTCCTACAGTTTATCCTAGTACCCCGCTGTTACTTAATTACTGGACCATGTCCTACAATTTTACTTACTGGACCATGTCCTGCATTTTATCCAAGAGCCATGCTGTTACTTATGGGGCCATGTCCTACACTGTTACTTACTGGACCATGTCCGAAACTGTTACTTAATTGACCATGTTCTACACTGTTACTTACTTGACCATGTCCTACAGTTTATCCTAATGCACTGCTATTATTTACTGGGCCATGTCCTACATTGTTACTTACTGGGCCATGTCCTACACTGTTACTTATTACTGGACCATGTCCTACACTGTTACTTACTTGACCATGTCCTACACTTTTACATACCTGACCATGTCCTACAGTTTATCCTAATGCACTGCTGTTATTTACTGGGCCATGTCCTACATTGTTACTTACTGGGCCATGTCCGACACTGTTACTTATTACTGGACCATGTCCGACACTGTTACTTACTGGACCATGTCCTGCATTGTTACTTACTGGACCATGTCCTACATTGTTACTTACTGGACCGTGTCCTACATTGTTACTTACTGGACCATGACCTACACTGTTACTTACTGGACCATGTCCTACAGTTCATCCTAGTGCACTGCTGTTACTTACTGGGCCATGTCCTACTCTGTTACTTATAACTGGACCATGTCCTACAATGTTACTTACTGGACCATGTCCTACAGTTTTTCCTAGTGCACTGCTGTTACTTACTGGGCCATGTCCTACTCTGTTACTTATAACTGGACCATGTCCTACAATGTTACTTACTGGACCATGTCCTACAGTTCATCCTAGTGCACTGCTGTTACTTACTGGGCCATGTCCTACTCTGTTACTTATAACTGGACCATGTCCTACAATGTTACTTACTGGACCATGTCCTACAGTTTATCCTCGTGCCCTGCTGTTACTTACTGGGCCATGTCCTACATTGTTACTTACTGGACCGTGTCCTACATTGTTACTTACTGGACCATGTCCTAGGATAAACTGTAGGACATGGTCCAGTAAGTAACAATGCAGGACATGGTCCAGTAAGTAACAATGCAGGACATGGTCCAGTAAGTAACAGTTTATCCTAATGCACTGCTGTTATTTACTGGGGCATGTCCTACATTGTTACTTACTGGGCCATGTCCTACATTGTTACTTACTGGACCGTGTCCTACATTGTTACTTACTGGACCATGACCTACACTGTTACTTACTGGACCATGTCCTACAGTTCATCCTAGTGCACTGCTGTTACTTACTGGGCCATGTCCTACACTGTTACTAACTGGACCATGTCCTACATTGTTACTTACTTGACCATGTCCTACAGTTTATCATTGTGCCCTGCTGTTACTTACTGGGCCATGTCCTATATAGTGTATCATTGTGCCCTGCTGTTACTTACTGGACCATGTCCTACAGTTCATCCTAGTGCACTGCTGTTACTTACTGGGCCATGTCCTACATTGTTACTTACTGGGCCATGTCCTACATTGTTACTTACTGGACCATTTCCTACATTGTTACTTACTGGACCATGTCCTACACTGTTACTTACTGGGCCATGTCCTACACTGTTACCTACTGGACCATGTCCGAAACTGTTACTTAATTGACCATGTCCGAAACTGTTACTTACTTGACAATGTCCTACAGTTTATCATTGTGCCCTGCTGTTACTTACTGGGCCATGTCCTACACTGTTACTTATTACTGGACCATGTCCTACACTTTTACTTACTTGATCATGTCCTACATTGTTAATTACTGAACCATGTCCTACAGTTTATCCTAGTGCACTGCTGTTACTTACTGGGCCATGTCCTCCATTGTTACTTACTGGACCATGTCCTACATTGTTACTTACCTCCAGTTTATCCTAGTGCCCTGCTGTTACTTACTGGGCCATGTCCTACACTGTTACTTACTTGACCATGTCCTACATTGTTACTTTCTGGACCATGTCCTCCAGTTTATCCTAGTGCCCTGCTGTTACTTACTGGACCATGTCCTATATTGTTTCTTAGTGGACCATGTCCTACATTGTTACTTACTGGGCCATGTCCTACACTGTTACTAACTAGACCATGTCCTACATTGTTACTTACTGGACCATGTCCTACACTGTTACTTACTTGACCATGTCCTACATTGTTACTTACTGGACCATGTCCTACAGTTTATACTAGTGCCCTGCTGTTACTTACTGGGCAATGTCCTATATTGTTTCTTAGTGGACCATGTCCTACACTGTTACTTACTGGGCCATGTCCTACACTGTTACTTATTACTGGACCATGTCCTACACTGTTACTTACTGGACCATGTCCTACATTGTTACTTACTGGACCATGTCCTACACTGTTACTTACTGGACCATGTCCTACAGTTTATCCTAGTGCACTGCTGTTACTTAGTGGGCCATGTCCTACACTGTTACTTATTACTGGACCATGTCCTACACTAGTGGGCCATGTCCTACACTGTTACTTATTACTGGACCATGTCCTACACTAGTGGGCCATGTCCTACACTGTTACTTATTACTGGACCATGTCCTACACTGTTACTTACTCGGCCATGTCCTACACTGTTACTTATAACTGGACCATGTCCTACATTGTTACTTACTGGACCATGTCCTAAATTGCTACTTACTGGACCATGTCCTACACTGTTACTTACTTGACCATGTCCTACATTGTTACTTACTGGACCATGTCCTAAATTGTTACTTACTGGACCATGTCCTACACTGTTACTTAATTGACCATGTCCTACACTGTTACTTACTTGACCATGTCCTACATTGTTACTTACTGGACCATGTCCTACACTGTTACTTAATTGACCATGTCCTACACTTTTAGATACCTGACCGTGTCCTACAGTTTATCCTAGTGCACTGCTGTTACTTAGTGGGCCATGTCCTACACTGTTACTTATTACTGGACCATGTCCTACACTAGTGGGCCATGTCCTACACTGTTACTTATTACTGGACCATGTCCTACACTGTTACTTACTCGGCCATGTCCTACACTGTTACTTATAACTGGACCATGTCCTACATTGTTACTTACTGGACCATGTCCTACACTGTTACTTAATTGACCATGTCCTACACTTTTAGATACCTGACCGTGTCCTACAGTTTATCCTAGTGCACTGTTGTTATTTACTGGGCCATGTCCTACATTGTTACTTACTGGGCCATGTCCGACCTTAATTGACCATGTCCTACACTGTTACTTACTTTACCATGTCCTACAGTTTATCCTAGTGCACTGCTGTTCCTTAGTGGGCCATGTCCTACACTGTTACTTATTACTGGACCATGTCCTACACTGTTACTTACTGGACCATGTCCTACACTGTGACTTATTACTGGACCATGTCCTACATTGTTACTTACTTGACCATGTCCTACAGTTTATCCTAATGCACTGCTGTTACTTACTGGGCCATGTCCTACACTGTTTCTTATTACTGGACCATGTCCTACACTGTTACTTAATTGACCATGTCCTACACTTTTAGATACCTGACCGTGTCCTACAGTTTATCCTAGTGCACTGTTGTTATTTACTGGGCCATGTCCTACATTGTTACTTACTGGGCCATGTCCGACACTGTTACTTACCTACACTGTTACTTACTTGACCATGTCCTACAGTTTATCCTAGTACACTGCTGTTACTTAGTGGGCCATGTCCTACACTGTTACTTATTACTGGACCATGTCCTACACTAGTGGGCCATGTCCTACACTGTTACTTATTACTGGACCATGTCCTACACTAGTGGGCCATGTCCTACACTGTTACTTATTACTGGACCATGTCCTACACTAGTGGGCCATGTCCTACACTGTTACTTATTACTGGACCATGTCCTACACTAGTGGGCCATGTCCTACACTGTTACTTATTACTGGACCATGTCCTACACTGTTACTTAATTGACCATGTCCTACACTGTTACTTACTTTACCATGTCCTACAGTTTATCCTAGTGCACTGCTGTTCCTTAGTGGGCCATGTCCTACACTGTTACTTATTACTGGACCATGTCCTACACTAGTGGGCCATGTCCTACACTGTTACTTATTACTGGACCATGTCCTACACTAGTGGGCCATGTCCTACACTGTTACTTATTACTGGACCATGTCCTACACTGTTACTTACTTGACCATGTCCTACATTGTTACTTACTGGACCATGTCCTACACTGTTACTTACTGGGCCATGTCCTACACTGTTACTAATTACTGGACCATGTCCTACACTGTTACTTAATTGACCATGTCCTACACTTTTACATACCTGACCGTGTCCTACAGTTTATCCTAGTGCACTGCTGTTATTTACTGGACCATGTCCTACATTGTTACTTACTGGGCCATGTCCGACACTGTTACTTATTACTGGACCATGTCCTACACTGTTACTTACTGGACCATGTCCTACAGTTTATCCTAGTGCACTGCTGTTACTTACTGGGCCATGTCCTACACTGTTACTTATTACTGGACCATGTCCTACACTGTTACTTACTGGGCCATGTCCTACACTGTTACTTATAACTGGACCATGTCCTACATTGTTACTTACTGGACCATGTCCTACATTGTTACTTACTGGACCATGTCCTACAGTTTATCCTAGTGCACTGCTGTTACTTACTGGGACATGTCCTACACTGTTACTTATTACTTGACCACGTCCTACACTGTTATTTACTGGGCCATGTCCTACACTGTTACTTATTACTGGACCATGTCCTACACTGTTACTTACTTGACCATGTCCTACACTTTTACTTACCTGACCATGTTCTACAGTTTATCCTAGTGCACTGCTGTTACTTACTGGACCATGTCCTATATTGTTTCTTAGTGGACCATGTCCTACATTGTTACTTACTGGGCCATGTCCTACACTGTTACTAACTGGACCATGTCCTACATTGTTACTTACTGGACCATGTCCTACACTGTTACTTACTTGACCATGTCCTACATTGTTACTTACTGGACCATGTCCTACAGTTTATACTAGTGCCCTGCTGTTACTTACTGGACCATGTCCTACATTGTTACTTACTGGACCATGTCGTACAGTTTATCCTTGTGCCCTGCTGTTACTTACTGGACTGTGTCCTGCAGTCGACTGATCTCTATGTCCCTCTGTTCCAGTGATACATGAAGAATGTGATTTTCCTGGTCTGAGGCTTCCTGTTGAAGTTGAATGGCCTCTATCTGGCGATTCATTGCCTCCACCTCCTTTCGGAATTGTTGGGCATCTGCCAAGCATTCCTGCTTGACTTTCAGCTCATCTGTTTCCTGATGAATATAACAGAACTAGATAAATTTCAAGGCGGTAATAAAGTGTTCATATATCCTATCATGATTACAGTCAAAGCTAGATATTAGCAAGAACCTGCTTTGATGAATTTGGGCAAACTGTTACAAATTAAATCCTGTATACATTTCTCACATAACTTCTTAAGCACATAATGGAATTTTACCAAATATAACATTTTTAAAAGCTGGGATGTGTGGATGCATAAGACCTCACAAAGAAATCATTGGCTTTGTAGGTATCTAGCCATCTTAACCTGTCTGCCAAACATAAACAAGAGGCCAAGAGGGCCTGTATCGCTCACCTGGATATCTAAGCAATCATGGCAAAATATTCTCCAAATGAGATCCAAGGGAATATGCCAGACCCCAAGGCCAATTCTTGTAGCATATCTGCATTAGATTTTTCATGCCAAGCCATTTTATGTATGGTTATGGGGTGGGGATCTTAACTGTTTCCAAGCTGTGACTTAGAAACTAGGTCCCTAGGGTTGTGGCCAGACCCCAGGATCAATTCTCATATCATGACTGCATTTGTCTCTTTTTGCCCAGCATTTGTATATATATAGTTTTGGGGTGGGGATCTCAACCGTTTCAAAGATATGATCCAGGGGTTAAGTCTCCAAGGGTGGGGCAGTCCCCAAGGCCATCCTGGAAGCATATGTGGATATGCATTCATCTCTTCATACTCAGCAATTGTATATATGGTTATAGGGTAGGGATCTCAACTGTTTCCAAGCTGTGACTAAGAAACTAGGTCCCTAGGGGTTAGGTCAGACCCCATGGTCTATTCTAATATCATGACTGCATTCGTCTCTTTATGCCCAGCATTTGTGTATATATAGTTTTGGGGTGGGGATCTAAACTGTTTTAAAGTTATAGCCCAGGGACGATGTCTCCAAGGTTTGGGCCAGACCCTAGGGCCATCCTGGAAGCAAATGTGCATTCTTCTCTTCATACTCAGCAATTGTATATATGGTTATATGGTGGGGATCTCAACCATTTCCAAGTAATAATTATTTTTTGGCCCCACCCCTTAGCCCCGAGGGTCAGCCCCACCATTGTACAATTTTGATTCCCTGCCTCCAATGGATGCTTCCGACCAAATATGATCAATATCCAGTGCAAAGTTCTACAGAAGAATACGCTTAAAGCAATATAGCCAAATTACCCTTTTTGATGGCCTCGCCCCTCAGCCCCCTGGGGGGTCAGCCCCACCATTTGTACATTTTTGAATCCCTGCCTCCCATGGATGCTTTTGATCAAATATGATTGATATCCAGTGCATAGTTCTACAGAAGAAGTTCCTTAAAGCTACATAGCCAAATTGCCCCCTTTTTGGCCCTGCCCCTCAGCCCCCTGGGGAGTTAGCCCAACCATTTGTACAATTTTGAATCCCCACCACCTAGGGATGCTTCCAGTCAAATATGGTTGATATCCATCACTTGGTTCATGAGAAGAAGTTGATAAAAGCAATATAGCCAAATTGCTCCCTTTTGGCCCCGCCCCTCAGCCCCCTAGGGGGTCAGCCCAACCAATTGTACAATTTTGAATCCCCACCACCTAAGGATGTTTCCTGTCAAATTTAGTTAAATTTCAATTAGTGGTTAGGAAGAAGAAATCGTTTAAAGAAATTGTTGACGTACGGCCGGACGCCGGACGCCACGGTATGGCATAAGCTCACCTTGGTCCTTCGGACCAGGTGAGCTAAAAATACAATGTCAATCATTTATTAATCAAAGGGCTGATTTTGTAGTCTAGTCTTTACTTTGTCTAGTCTTAAACAAGAGATCTCAGAGGGATCTTGGCGCCCACCTTTGTACCATCTTGATTAGTTCTTTGTCAGTTTGATCTTTTCTCTTCATTCCTCTAATCTGTTTGATCGAGTCATGTTAACAGTAAATGCATCTTGAGGTAACTTTTGTTCTAAACTTAACACTGATGTGTATGAAGGCCAACCTTCAAAGTGAGTTTGTCATTTCACATATTTACTAGTACAGTACTTAATGTGAAAGAAATAGAATCGTTCATTGCAATATGAGAAAGATCTGTTTAGTTTTAATCTTTTAATCCATTTTGTTTTTATGATCAGTCTCAAAATATAACATGCACGAGGGATCAAGGGGAACCTACATACAAAATTTGAGAAAGATCCCTCTGATACTTCTTGAGAAATAGCGATAACAAACTTTCCCTATCAAAATCCAAGAAGGCTGCATGTCGGCCATTTTGTTTATCCGATCAGTCTTAAAAGTTGCCCTGCACAGTTTAGGACCAAGGTGAACCTACATATAAAATTTGAAAAAGATCCCTCTGATACTTCTTGAGAAATAGCAATAACAAACTTTCACTATCAAAATCACAGATGGCTGCCTGTCGGCCATGTTGTTTATCTGATCCGTCTTAAAAGTTGCCCTGCACAGTAAAGGACCAAGGGGAACCTACATATAAAATTTGAGAAAGATCCCTCTGGTACTTCTGAGAAATAATGATAAAAAGAATTGTTTAAGGACGGTCGACGGAGGACAGAGGACGGTCCATGGACGCAGGGTGATTTGAATAGCCCACCATCATCTGATGGTGGGCTAATCTGATGGTGGGCTAAAAAACACACACATATATGTTAACGCATGACCATTTTTACAGCCGAGGAGGTGTACGATTCCACTAAGCCAGACACCCTGCCTGGCAGCTGGTAGATAAACTTTAAGGGCTAGTGAACCTTTCATGTTTAACAGAGGAGTGTCTTGTAGATTTTTTTTCAAAGGTTGCCTAAGGGCAGCATAAGTACAATTTCATATTTAGGGTTCTGAATTTGAAATTGTACACCCTGCCCTAATACAGGTAAGCTATATGACATTTAGTTCTTTTGCCTGCCAAATCAAAGTTTTGTGAAAACAATGGAATGAGAAGTAGATGATCCTTTTTATTATTTGGCTAAATTAAAGGGCTATTTTGCCAAACTTTAGCCAGAATAATGAACATCAGATATGATTTCAAAACAAGAAAGTATCTGCAAATTAATCACCATGTTTTCATTTGCAGAATACTGACAAATAAAATAATGGCAAGAATGGACTCCAGTTGAAAGGCAGGAAAAATGGAATAGAAAGTTAAATACAAATTTAAATGATGATATAGGTTGGGAGAAAATTTATTTAACAAGCTTTTTGGTGACAATTGACACAAAACTTCAAAATCTACAATTTAAGATTCTTCATAGCATATTAACAACAAACATTTTTCTTTACCAAACTAATGTTAGGGATGAGGATCTATGTACTTTTTGTAGAGATGCACCAGAATCAATTGAACACTTATTTTTTAACTGTGTGAAAATAAATAATATATGGAATGATTTAATAGCTTGGGTAAATGACTTGAATAACAATATTATCATTATTGATCATATGAATATCAAGGATGTGTTATTTTTTTGTGAAAAGGGTCCACCTATCATAAACTATCTCATACTAATTATTAAATATTATATCTATACATGTCGATTCAAAAATATTGAACCGTCTTTCAATGGTGGAAAAAGACGC